TTTACAAGGATCTCTCCTTTCTCCACAGCCTCATGAATCTCTTCTCCATCTCTTCTCCAGAAAATGTCAGCAGTTTCGGGGTAGAAACCTGTAGCATGGCAGGTCACCACAGAGGTGGGAGTCCTCTGGAGCAGAGACACAGAGGGTCTTTCTATTTAAGAAAAAAATTATAATAAAAAAGATGATCTTTGTAATAAATTTGGAAAGATCCTGTTGTTGCTGCATTTAAATTGGGTCATAAATATACCTTTTTTCTGCAGAAAGCTCCTCCCATGATGAACATATCTCTTTAACCAGTCGGAACATATATAGATGTAAAAATGTTTATACTCTTCTAATCTAGCTTTCATGGTGTCCCATGTGAGTTTTGTGAGTACAGCTTGTGGTTTGGTAGCAATCCATGTCAGGGTCTTCAGGTCCAGGGCTAAGATGTCTTCCCCATTATAACCATACTGATCATATCCTGTAATTTCTCCAGTCTCATCATCCCACTCACAGCCATCCATTATCTGCAAAATGTAGGGACCTTAAAGACAAGAAAAAAAGACATAATTAACAAAAGAAGGCACACTCACATATAAAAAAAGGAAAACAGTTAATCAAAATGATAAAAAAATAAATGTTTCTAAGACAGGAACAGACTTTAACATCTCATATATGTACCACCAAATTGAATTTAACAAGAAAATAAATAAAAGAAGATAAACTAAAGGCAGACATGTACTGTTTTGTTTTGTTTTTTTCAGTTTGAGGTAAGAGAGACACTAACAAATTCATGAATAAGGAAAAAGTTTATGATGAGGTTAAATGTCGCCTTTTTTTGCAAGGATTATATTGTTTCATACTGTGTTGTTTTACAAAACGCCTATAGGTGGTGCTGCATTCACGCCATGAAAAATAAGCTAATAAAGCATCAAAGCACTTCAGTTAAAGAAAGGATGTGAAAGTATCTGGAAAGAAGACAAAGGCCTCTTTTCTTTAGTATCCAACAGCCACCAATAGATTAATGTTTTTGATTTTGTTGTTTTCATATACATGTAATGTTTATTATTGAGAGTTGTCTCTAATTGTTCTAAAGACTTAATTGAACTTTTTTTTGTCTGCGTGTGTGTTTGTGTGCTGAATTTCTAATAAATTCATAGTCTAAGGAAAAACTAAACTTTTGTGGACCTGTTTCACATGATTAATGATGACAGTTATAGTTTATCTTGTAACAGGAGACGCTGGCTCCCTTTGAGAGTCACATTACACCATAAAATGATTAATAAATGTTATTCTTTTAGTTTTACCTTGAACATGCTATTTGTTTCACTATGCTTTTAAAATCCTACAAACCTTGTTCACATAATGATGTCACTAATCTGTAATTCATTCTTATGCGTGTATTTTCAGTTCATAAAGCCGCAGCCACACCTTGACGATTTAGCCAGGCTGACGTACGAAAAATCTCGCAAAAACTGGAATAAGTTGGATAACTTCATATAAGTTATGAGCATGCTGAAGTACTCTGAAGCATAGTGACTCATGCTGGCACATGTTGACATACAGCAAGAAGGTATGCCAGCGTATGCTCATTTATGGGCCATAAGTTCTAGGTAAGTTATATGATGGTTGATATATGTTAAGTGTCAGTTACTCATAAGTCATGGCGTCTAGCTTATCTAAAACCTATGAGTAACTTGTGCATTACTTATGCGTAACTTATCAAGAACTTATCTCCAACGCATATCAACGTGTCTGACGTGTTTCTAACTTAGAGCTACTGTATGATGACGTATTGGCAGCGTTTTGGTATAAAAGAGGATTCACTGGAGGAAACCGTCTGTCCTTCTCCAGACTTTATCCCCATCATAGGGTGAGCAAGAAGGTGAGTGTGATGGATCCTCCCTGCGTTCACGCCCTCGGCCACGGCCAACGAACTTGCTAGCAGACATGATGCTGAATCTGCTGCGACTGCAAACCTTCTCTCTTTCTTCTTCTTCGCATTTATTTATTTATTCTTTTTTTTTTTTGGCGGGCAGTAAAAATCAGCTAGGTTAGTATTGTGATCAAAAACATCTTTTTATGCAGGTTGGGCGCCTCCGGGTGATTTGCTGCCCCACTCACGTCACTGGCTTGTGCATCATTTTATGGGAATAATGCTGCCGTGCATTAGGAATAAGTTAGGCTGTCTTTGGACAGAAGTATAAGACATAAGTATAATGAATACTCTGGGTATACACCCAAAATTGAAAAAATACATTGAAAGTTCAGTGTATGCCAGCCTTTTAGAAGATTTTGGGACGTCAAGGTGTGACAGGGGCTTTACAGGTCCTGCTGTAGAGTTGGAAGACAAAATACATGTAATTTCAATCAGTTGTACTATTGCAATATTCTTTATCATTTACAGGAAATATGGCAAGCACTGTATACTGAAACCTAAAGCCAATATAGGTGAAGAAAACGTGTTTATTAAAAAGCTCCTTACCTTCAGTGAGGTTTAAACGTTGCTTCAAGCTATTCACGTCTGCTTTAAATACATGTTGACTTATAATACACGTCCGAGTATACCACTCCAAGTGGTTGGGATCCTTTTCAATCAGTGTCATCGCCAAGTCTTGTTTGGGCTTGGCGGTCTTGATGTTGCTGTCGCAATATCCCACCTGAACTTCATTTACTGTTGCAACCCCAACAAACTCTGGAAAGCCTGGGACTCCGTAGGTAGCAGTACGTAAATATCGCAGGGAATGTTTCACTGAAGGGTAGAAATTAGAATATTTAGTTGTTGTTTTAAATTGTTACCTATACTTTCCCTTATATAAAAATGCATTTTACAGAAAAGTTAATTAAATTCACTAATTAAAGTCACTAAATGAGATACATTCTATAGTTTCATCAGTAACAGACTGATATTTTAAAGCTTTGATTTGTATGAAACATTCTACTGCTGAAGATCTTACACTCATAATAAAAACATAACATTTAAAACATCCATCCATTTGCTGTCTATCTCCAGTGCCTATCTCC